ATATAGATATAGATATAGATATATAATTCCATCCATAGTACCCTACAAAGAAAATAACTGTAGAACATACAAAAAAGGGAATAGGGGGAGAAACATAGTGTCACTACAAAAAATCAAATACACACAAAGGAAATCAGTAATGAAGGCAACGAGGAACCAAAACTGTAAGACATAAAATTTAAAAAAACAAAAAGTCAAAAGTAAGTCCTTCCCTATCAGTAATTACACCTAATGTAAAATGATTAATCTCCTGAATCAAAAGACATAGATTGGTATAATAGATTAAAATTAAAATCATGATCCAAATAAATGCTATCTACAAGAGACTCACTTTCAATCTAAAGACTCAGAAAAGTTAAAAATGAACGATGATAAAACATATTTCATGCAAATAATATCCTAGTTTCTTTATTTAAAAGGAGCATTTTGCATTTCCCATAGGTGGTGAGGGCTGTACCCTTGCAGCTGCCTGCTCAGTGATTGGTGTGGGCTCTGATATTGGTGGCAGCATTAGGATGCCTGCATTCTTCAATGGCATATTTGGACACAAACCTTCGCCAGGTAATATTAATATGGTTATAAGGGTGGCTCTACTTTTATGACTCAAAACAATGCAGAAATTTGGTCCCTACCAGGATAATCTTACTTATAAGTGTGGTTATTATATATTTTTTAATATTCTGAAATAAAATAGCTACTATTTATTGAACACCAACTCTGTGTCAGGCATGGTACAAGTTTTCTCCATAACTAATTTTTATTGAATCCCTACAGTAACCCTTTCAGGGAGAAATAATTCCCATTTGACAGATGACAAATTCAAAAGTCAGGAATATTAGCTAAACCTGCACATAAGGGATGCACACCTCTTTTTGAATTATTATTTTTGTTTTGTTATAGTCAGTAGTGGAATTGTTGGGTCATAGGTAAGTTCTATTTTTAGTTTTTGAAGGAATCTTCATACTGTTTCCATAGTGGATGCACCAGTTTACAATCCAACCAGCAGTGTGTGGGGGTTCCTTTTTCTCGATCTCCTTGCTAAGACTTAATTGTTTTATTTTTCATAATAGCCAATTTTACAGGTGTGCGGTGATATCTCATTGTGGTTTTGATTTGCGTTCCCCTGATGATTAGTGATGTTGAGCATCTTTTCATGTGTCTGTTTGCCATCTGTATGTCTTCTTTGGAAAAATGTCTGTTCGGATCCTCTGTCCATTTTTTAATTTGATTGTTGTTTTGTTTTGTGTTTTTTTGCTGCTGAGTTGTATGAGTTCTTTATATATTTTGGATATTAACCCCTTCTTGGCTATATCATTTGCAAATACTTTCTCCCATTCAGTGGGTTGACTTTTCATTGTGTTGATGGGTTTCATCACTCTGCAAAAGCTTGTTAATTTTATGTAATCCTACTTGTATATTTTTGCTTTTATTATTCTTGCCTGGGTAGACATATCCAAGAAAACATTACATGGGCCAATGTCATAGAGCTTATTGCATATCTTTTCTTCTATAAATGTTATGGTTTCTGGTCTAATATTTAAGTATTTAATACATTTTTAATTAAAGTTTATTGGAGTGACAGTTGTTAGTCAAGTTACATAGGTTTCAGGTGTACAATTCTGTAATATATCATCTACAAATGTAAAAACAAAAACTCAGACACAAAATAATTTAGTGGTTACCAGAGGGATAGGTGAGAGGGGAGGTGGTAGATGAGGGTATTTAATACATTTTTAATTTATTTTTGTATATGGTATACAAAAATGGTCCAATTTTTTTTGCATGTAGCTGTCCAGTTTTCACAACATGATTTATTGAAGAGAATGTCTTTTCCCCATTGTATATTCTTGCCTTTTTTGTCATAGATTAATTGACCATATACAACTGGGTTTATTTCTGGAATTTCTGTTCTGTTCCCGTAATCAATGTGTCTGGATTTTTTTGTTTTGTTTTTTTGTTTATTTATTTTTTGGGGGGTGTTTTGCCAGTACCACATTGTTTTGATTACTATAGTTGTATAGTATAGTTTGAAATCAGGAAGCATGATCCCTCCAATTTTATTATTTTTTCAAGATTTCTTTGGATATTTGGGGACTTTTGTGGTTCCATATTAATTTTGGGATTATTTTTCAAGTTCTTTGAAAAGGACCATTGTTATTTTAATAGAAATTGTATGGAATCTGTAGATCACTTTGAGTAGTATGGACATTTTATCAATATTAATTATTCCAATCCATGAGCATGTAATATCCTTGCATTTATTTGTGTCAACTTCAATTTTTTTTCATCAACTTATAATATTTTGACTACAGGTCTTTCAACTTTGTGGTTAAATTAATTTTTAGGTATTTGCGGTTTTTTGATGTAATTATAAATGGATTTTTTTTTCTTGATTTATCTTTCTGATAGTTCATGTATTAGTATATAAAACACAACCAGTTTTTGTGCATTACTTTTCTATCCTGCAACTTCACTGAATTCATTTATTCTAATAGTTTTTTGGTAGAGTCTTTAGGGCTTTCTCTGTATAATGTCATATTATCAGCAAATAGTGACAGTTTTATTTCTTCCCTTCCAATTTGGATGCCTTTTATATCTTTTTCTTGTCAGATTGCTGTGGCTAGGACTTCTAATAATATGTTGACTAAAGGTGGTGAGCGTGGGCATGCTTGTTTTTTCCTGATCTGAAAACAAAAGCTTTCAGATTTTTACCATCGAGTATGATATTAACTGTGTTTTGTCATATAGGGCTTTTAATATGTTGAGGTATGTTCCTTTTATGCACACTGAGTTGAGAGTTTTTATCATAAATGGATGTTGAATTTTGTTAAATATTTTCCTGCATCTATTGAGATCATTATATGATTTTATTAAATGATTTATTATGTGGTATATCATGGTGATTGATTTGTGGCTATAGGCCCATCATTGCCTCCCTGGAATAAACCCCACTTGATTATGGTGTATGATTCTTTTATTTTATTGTTGAATTTGATTTGCTAATATTTCGTTGTAGATTTTTGCATCTATGTTTATTAGGGACATTTATCTTTGGTAGAATTTGCCTGTGAAGCCCTCTGGTCCTGGACTTTTGTTTGTTGGGCCTTTTATTTTATTATTATTATTATTTGTTGGGACTTTTAGAATTATTAATACAATTATGTTATTGGTAATTTGTTCAGATTTTCTGTTTTGTCCTAATTCAGTTTTGGAAGATGTATGTTTCTAAGAATTTATTCATTTCTTCTAGGTTGTCTAATTTGTTGGCTTATAATTGTTCATAGAATTCTCTTATGATCCTTTGTACTTCTTTGTTATTGTTTATAACTTCTCTTTCATTTCTGATTTTATTTGGGCCCTCTCTCTTTTTTTCTTCATGAGTCTTGATAAAGAGTCATCAATTTTATTTACCTTTTCATTATACCTCCTCTTGGTTTCATTGCTCTTTTCTATTCATTTTTCAGCCCCTATTTTATTTATTTCTGTTATGATCTTTTATTATTTTTCCAGTTCCCCTCAGTGACAGTTTACATTGTTTACTTGAGATTTTTCATGTGTTTTTTGAGGTACACCTGTAACAGTATAAATTTCCCTCTTAGAACTGCTTTTGCCATATATTTTATCCCTTTTACCCTCATCTACCACCCTCCTTGAACACACAATGTGATATATAGATGATGTATTACAGAATTGTACACCTCAAACTTATATAACTTTGCTAACAATTGTCACCCCAATAAACTTTAATTAAAAAATATATAAATAAAATAAAATAATTAACCAATAAAACATGGTAAAAAAAACCCTGCTTTTGCTTCATCCTATAGATTTTTTAATAATGTGTACAATTTTCATTTGTTGGAGGTATTTTTTAAAATTTCTCCTTTGATTTCTTCATGGACCCATTGACTGTTTCATAACATGTTGTTTAGCCTCCACATGTTTGTGTTTTTCCCAGTTTTTTTCCTTCTAGGTAATTTCTAGTTTCATACCATTATGGTGGGAAAACATGATGGGGTTTCTATCTCCTTAAATTTATTGAGACTTGTTTTCTGGCCTAATATGTGATCTATCCTGGAGAATATTCCATGTGCATTTAAAAAGAATGTCTATTCTGCTGTTTTGGGATAAAATATTTGGTATATATCTATTGAATATATGGTATACTTTTTCATTTAAGAACAAAGTTTTCTTACTGATATTTTTGTTTCGATGATCTATCCATTGATTTAAATTGGGTGTTAAATTCCCCTACTCCCAGGGTAACTGATTAGTTCAGTTGGCTACAGCATGGTGCTGATAGTACCAGGATTGCTGGTTTGATCCATGCATGGGCCACTGTGAGCTGTGCCCTCCTTGGGGGAGTCAACGATGCCATTGTAGCATGAAAGCAATGTATAACCAATGACCATTGCTGTTCCCAGTGAAATTTTTTAAAAAATTCCCTTACTCGTTTTGTAATACTGTCAATCTTTCTTTATGTTAGTTAATATTTTTATTATGTATTTAGGTTTTCCTATGTCAGTTGCATAGATGTTTACAAGTGTTATATCCTCATGTTGGATTGATTTCATTGTCATTATGTAATGCCCTTCTTTGTTTCTTATTATTGTCATTGTTTTAAAGTCTATTTTGTCTGATGTAAGTATTGCTACTCCAGCTTTCTTTTCTATTCCATTTGCATGATCTGCATTATTCCATCCTTTCACTTTCAGTCTGTGTATGTCTTTTGACATACACGAACTGGTTCACTTGTAGACAGCATATGTATGGGTCCTGTTTTCTTATCCATTCAGATATTCCATGTCTTTTGATTGTAACATTTAATCCATTTACATTTAAAGTGATCATTGATAGATACATAGTTATTGCCATTTCATTATTCATCGTTTGATGGGTAGAGTAACCTTGGTTGTAGGTACTTGCTTTTCATCATTTCCAATATTTTGTGTCAATCCCTTCTGGCCTGTAAAGTGGCTGTTGAGAAGTCATCTGATAGTATTATAGGAGCCCCCTTGTAGACAACTAACTGCTTTTTTCATGCTACTTTTAAGATTCTCTATCTTTAACCTTTGGCATTTTAATGATGATGTGTCTTGGTGTAGGCCTCTTTGGATTCATCTTACTTGGAACCCTCTGCACTTCCTGGGCCTGTAGGTCTGTTTCCTTCTTCAGGTTAGGGAAGTTTTCATCATTATCTCTTCAAATAGGTTGAAGAAATGCTCTCTCTTCTCCTTGTGATACCCCTATGATGCAAATGTTGAAACACTTGATGTCCCAGAGGTTCCTTAAACTCTCCTCATTTTGGGAGGAGGGGGATTCTTTTTTTTTCTTTTTGCTGTTCTGCTTGTTTTTTTTCTGCTGCCTTATCTTCTAAATCACTGACATGATCCTCTGCTTCATCTAATCTACTGTTGATTCCCTCTAATGTATTCTTCATTTCAGTTATTCTACTCTTTATTCCTGACTGGTTCTTTTTTTATGTTTTCTAACTCCATTTCAATGTTTCCTATCTCTTACTTGAAGTTCTCCCTAGATTACTGAGCATCCTTACAACCAGTGTTTTGACTCTGCATCTGGTAGATTGCTTGTCTCCATTTCACTTAGTTCTTTTTCTGGAGCTTTGTTCTATTCTTTCATGTGGGACATGTTTCTTTGTCTCCTCATTTTGGGTGCCTCCCTGAGTTCATTTCTTTATATTAGGTAGGGCTGCTATGCCTCCCAGTCTTAGTAGAGTGACCTTATGTAGGAGGTGTCCTGTAAGGCAAAGTGGCACAATCTCACTGGTCACCTGAGCCGAGTGCTGCATGTGTGTCCCTTGTGTTGTGTGTGCTCTTCTATTGTAGTTGAGCCTTGGTTGCTGTTGGCACATCCGTGGGAGGGATTGACCCTCAGGCTGATTGGTTGTGAGGACTGGCTATGATTACAGTGGAGGAATTGTGGTGCAGAGGCTGACCCTACAAAGCAGGATTCGCTTTAGCAGAGCTCTGGTGCCTGCCCAGTCTTCCCTTTTAGTGTGTCATTTGTGGAAGTGTCCTGGTGGTACTCCAATATAGTCCGAAGCTGGCCACTGGGCTTGCTGGCCCTGAGGTTTCCTGGCCACCATAGGCCATCATAGGCCACCATAGGCCAAATTCATCCTCTACCTGTTACCTGCCCAGGGCCATCTGGCATGAGCCACAAAGTGATCTGCAGATGACTCCCACCTGCACTGGGCTTGGCGGTACCTGGAAGAGGCTAAGCTGCAAACTGAGGCTGGCTGCTGCTAATGCCGGACTTGGGGTTGCTTGGCATATACAGGACATGCCAAGGCCAGATGCTGCTTGTTTGAGGTGTGTGAACCTTTGACAGATTTTAGGAAAGGCTGCATCATGAGCCAAGACAGGCCATTTGTATGGAAAATCCACTGGAAGCAGCTTGGGTGGGCCTTCAAGTTGGGTGGGGCAGGGTCTCAGAGAATCACCAGGGCAGGGCATAAGGTGTTAGTCAGTTTTATGGAGACTCAGATATGACAGCCACCAAAGTCTGCATGCTGGGTGCGGGGAGAGCTCAACAAAGGAACAATGGCTTCTGCCACCAGTTCTGTTTGGGGAAAAGCTACCCCTCCAGCCTTCACCCTAGAGCCAAACAATTCAGTGCCTCCCCATTTGTCCCTAACACCTTTCAAGCTGCTGTCACATTGATGGAGTTCAGAGTGAGTGAGTCTATAAGCAAGTAAGTTTGTGCACAGGCTCTTTAAAAGGAATGCCTGGGACTCCAACTGCCCTTCGTTTGACTCAGCCACAATCTCTGCTGGTTTTCACCGCCAGATGTTGTGGGGACTTCTCTTCCTGGCACAGGAGCCCTGGGCTGTGGAGTCCAATGTGAGGCTGGGACCCCTCGTTCCTCATCTGGGACCTCCACAGCCGAGATATCCCTCCCAAATATGAACTGCCATCTACGGGTGTGGGTCCAGCTCACTCCATATCTCTGTCCCTCCTACCAGTCTCAGCATGAGATTGTCTGTATAGCCTTAGTTTTAGGACTTGTGTTCAGCTAGACTTCAGGCAATTCTCAATAATGGTTGTTCTATAGTTTAGTTGTAATTTTGATACGGTCGTGAGAGGAGGCAAGCACAGCATTTACTTCCTCTGCCATATTGACCAGAAAGTGATATTTCTTCATCTTTTCTGGTTTTAACAACCACCCTGTGAACACCACAAGTTCATGTCACCACAGAGATAAGTATGGAAAAGCAAGGTAAGAAGTGTGCATGCTGTAGGCTGCTGTTTGTATCTTCAAACAGTTCAATTTGCATTTATATATTTAATATGTTCATGATCCCTTTCATTACTTTATTTTTTCTTATTACTAAAACATTTCCTAAATAATTTTTTAAATACCTATAAAATATTCATTTTTCTATTTCTTACTTTGTTCTTGTACTCATGCATTTTAAGAACCTTATACAAACAAAATTTAGAATTTTGAAAAACCTACATTCCCCACTATGAGCTTAACAGCCTTGCAATATTTAAGGAGTTTTCTTAGAGCTCAGTGGTGATGTGAATGAACTTTTTTCCATTTTTTATTAAATTTTATTGGGGTGACAATGGTCAACAAAACTACATAGCTTTCAAGTGTACAATTCTATAATACATCATCTATATATTGCATTGTGTGTTCACTGCCCAGAGTCAGTTCTCCTTCCGTCACCATATATTTGACCCCCTTAACATAAAGTAAAATGAATGTAACGTATATTTTAGTGAACCAATCTTTTTCAAATCACCAATGACTGGTGTTACAAAATCATGAATTGGAAAATGATTGATTCAGAGTAAGAAATATACTGATGAATTTTAGTGTAACGGAGTACGAACAAGTCAATGGTAAAATTTCAGATTTATCATTTTAATTATCCTATCAGAAACCAGCACATGTCCTGATTTGATAGACTATCAACAAAGAATATGAAAAATTATCTATAAAGGTTTTTAAAATACTTCTGCCTTTTCAACTAAATATCTGTATGAGGTTGGTTTCCTTTATGTATTTCAAACAAAATTACATATTGCAAAACATGGACTGCAGAGCAGATATGAGAACCTAGTTGTTTTTCTCTTAAACCAAACACTAAACAGATTTGCAAAAATGTAAAATAATGACCTTCTCCTCATCAAATATATTTTTGTGTTAGAAAATAGTTATTTTTTATAAAATATATTATTGTGCTAACATGTAATGGGTTCACTGTTATTTTTAAACAATTAAACACATAAATATTTTAATATCTTCTCAGTTTTAATTTCTAATATGTTAAATATTGACATATTTAAACTTGCAGAAACACAAGCTCTTTGGGGTCTTCAGTAATTCTGAAGCATATGAAAGGATCCTGAAGCTAAAAAGTTTGAGAGTCCCTGGTTTCATCATTGATAACATAGTCTGGGGAGCTAGACTCCTGGTATCCTGTCACTTAGTAGCTATGTAATCTTAAACTAGATTATTAATCTCTGCCTCAGTTGTCTCATCTGTAAAATGGGTATAGCCAAAATACCTTCTTCATAAGGTTGTTTTGAGAATTAAATGAGTTAATATTTGTAAAGCTCCTAGAAGAGTATCTGACACATAGTAAATACTATTAAATATCTTTATGTTAAAAGAGAGGGCATATATGAAAATATCCACAGCTACCATCATACTTACTTGTGAAAACTAAAAACTGTCCTCCTCAGACTAGGAACAAGAAAAGCATGTCTGCTCTTGCTGCTTCTATGAAATATTGTACTAGAGGTTCTACCCTTCAGGTTTAAGGTAGATTAAACATGATGGTGAAATACAGCATTGAGGGATCATGTCTTATTTTGGACAGCTAACCTGAGTATCTAACCTTTCAGGTGTGGTCCCCAACAAGGGTCAGTTTCCTGTGGCCAGGGGAGCCCAGGAGCTCTTTCAGTGCACAGGCCCAATGTGTCGCTATGCTGAAGACCTGGCCCCCATGCTGAGGGTCATGGCAGGACCTGGCATCCAAAAGTATGTTTGCTTCTTTTCTTTATTTCCTCTCCTTCCTGTCCAGACATTCATTCTCCCTCTGTCTATTAGAGACATAGAGGCAAACTGCCAGTCCTCAACCAAAGAATTATTAGAGGTGTTTTTTTGTTTGTTTGTTTTGTTTTGTTTTTTGAGAGAGCTTTTGTATTTGGATATCAACGCTTCACAAATTGGGAAGACAGTTTGTAAAACTATTTTACTGTGTAAAAATATTACACAAAGAGAGGCCTATTTTTGGATGAAAGCTATAGATTTTTGTTGTTCTTGTTCATTTGGCAATTTGAATATATAGACTTATCTCACTTTAAATTAAGCCTTTCTGGTACTTCTGCCATCTGTCACCACATGTTTTCCAGTCTTACCTGGGACATCGATACTGCCTAAAAATCTGTTTCTCTAGATAGCTCTTTATTATCACATTTTCCACAACAGCAATTTAAAGTGTTTTTCTTTCCTGCAAAACAGTGATTTCCTCATCTAGCTTTTACCCTCAGTAAATGATCCCACATGCTACCTCACCAAGAAAATGCAATCTGTGGAACTTTCTTCATTTCCTTACATCAAACTTTTCTAGGTTCCTAGCCATTAATTTCTGTTTTCTCCTTTTAGAGTAGAGAAAATATCTTTCTTTTTTGCTGTGGTATATAAATACTTTGATCTGTACTCTGGATCTCATGTTCTGGTACTCTCTCAGATGTTTGTTCGATAACCTGTCTCACCTTCCTATGATTGAAACCTAATATCTCTATACATACACACAGTAAAACCTTGGATTACGAGTAATGTGGTTTGCAAGTGTTCCGCAAGACGAGCAAACATTTCTAATACATTTTAACATTGTAAATGAGCGATGTCTTGCAATATGAGCAGTTTGTTTCCAGAACGAACTATGCTCACAAGGTATTACTGTATATATATTCCTCTTCATTATCATTAAACATGCCTAAACTATATGCTTACATGCTGGTTTCCACATTTCCACCACTGACATTTTTTTGTTTAGTTCTCTGATCTTTTTTTTTTTTTGTGGTAAGGGTAATGACTGCTTTTGTTTTTTTAATTTTTATTAAATTTATTGGGGTCACATTGGTTAATAAAATGATATAGGTGTACAATTCTATAATACATCATTTATATATTTCATTGTGTGCTCACCACCCTGAGTCAGTTCTCCTTCCATCACCGTATATTTGACCCCATTTACCCTCATCTACCTCCCTTCCTCCCCCCTTACCCTCTGGTAACCACAAAACTGTTGTCTGTGTCTCTGAGGTTTTTGTTTGTTTGTTTGTCTTGTTCATGTGTTGCTTTCAGTTTTATATCCCACATATGAGTGAAATCATATAGTTCTCGAATTTTTCTGTCTGACTAATTTCACTTAGCATGATAATCTCAAGATCCTTCCATGTTGTCGCAAATGGTGGTACTTCATCTTTTCTTATGGCCGATTAATATTTCATTGTATATATGCACTTTTCAGTACTTATCTTATATGACCTCATTATAACTGGTGACACTATAAACTACTCTGTCCTTCTTGAAACAATCTCTACTTTTGGATTTTGTGATTCACACTTTTCTGATATAGCTCCTATATCTATGCCTTTCCCCTTTTTTCTCCTTTGGTGGCTCTTCTTCTGCTCATCCTTTAAATATTGGTACCCTAGAGGGTATGGACTCACTTCATTCTTCTCTCTTTCCCCAACCTTCCAGGATGACTCCTTTTACACCAGCTACTTCAATTACCTTCCATACATAGAGGATTCACAAATCTGTATCACCAGTTCCCTTTTCTCACCTAAGCTACAGGACTGTGTATTAATTGGCATACTGGGCATCTCAGGGACCTGAAACTCAATATGTCTAAAACTGATTTCATTCTTCTTCCAAGCTCCACAAACCTGATTTGCTACTTTTATTCTTCCCCAATTCCAGTGACTGCACCTTGATCAACGCAGTTGGGGTTTTTTTGGTTTTGGTTTTTTTTTTAAGCTGAGCCATCCTGCCACCTGTTGGTAGCTCAGCGGCTGCTCAGCTTGGGCCGGGAATCAAACCGCTGTTGCTCAGAGCTCAAACTCTTGAGCGAGCTCTTAACCAACTGAGCCACTCGGCCAGCCCTCAACGCAGTTGTTAAAGCCTAATTTCCCATCTCTATGACTCCTTATGTCTAAGCAATCTCCAGTTAAGATTACCTCCTCATTATGTTCTACAGCATTGCATTTCAATGTATAATCATGGTCACAATTCTAGTACAGGCTACAATAATTTCTGACTTGTCACTCCATCTTCAAATTTGACCCATTCCAAACTGTTCTCTTTCTTGTAGTTAGAGTAATATTCTTAAATGAAAATCTAAACTCTAAAGGCTTATCACTATTTGGCACACAATTCTGGAAAACAAAAAACAACACTAAAGCAGAATCTCAATTGTTAGGATTGAATTAGTGAGCATATATAAGTAATATGTTAATATCAGTTTCTTTTTTATTTCTCCACAGGTTAAAACTAGATGAAAAGGTATATTTAAAGGACTTGAAATTTTACTGGATGGAACATGATGGTGGTTCAATTTTAATGTCCAAAGTGGACGAAGATCTCATTCTGGCTCAGAAAAAGGTAATTATGAATAGAATCTCTTCAATGGAATGCATACTTACGCACAGATACTACTCTTTTACTGTCTACCAGATGTTTGTGTCAGCATACAGAATTAGTGTGACCATAGTAGTTGTACTAGGTAACTTTCGGTGTGATTCTTTATAGTTATTTTTGATATTTTATTTATTTTCAATAATAAAAAGGAAGATTTTGAAAGTAAAGTATGATAAAGCAAAGAAAGAAATTTCTCAGAGGTAACTGCTATTACTATTTTGACATATTTCTGTCCAGTCATTCTTCTATACTTATGTGTAGATGTAAATGTTATATGCTTGGATCACATTGTATATGTAACAATTCTGATCTGCTTTTTGTTTTATAAATATGTCTATAATAAAATGAAATAATGAAACAAATTTGTCTTTCTAAAAGCAAAAGTTCATTCAGAGAGGAAGAATAATAAGAGGAAGAGCCCTGTGAAATTTTAAAAACACTTTTTTCAAAACCACAGTAAATCCCTAGAACATATCTTGTAACTGGACAGTTGTACAACATGGTGACTATAGAAAGTTGCTAAGATACTAGATCTTAAATGTTCTCACCACAAAAAGGAAATGACAATTATGTGATGTGATGGAGGTATTAGCTAATGATATGGTTGTAATCATTTTGCAATATATAAGTGTATCAAAACTACGTGTTGTACACCTTAAACTTACACAATTTATACATCAATCATATCTCAATAAAGCTGGGGGAAATATGAAAAAACACCAGTAAATAACATGTGGCACCATTAAAAATAATACAAAACATTGTTTGAAAAACATGTAACTGTATATTTCTGACCTCAAGAAAATTCACGTAAAAACTCATACAGTAAGGTTAACAAGTGTCTTAATGAAAGTCATATAATCCCTAAGTCAGAATCAGCCCAATATCGCAGAAACAACTAGTAGAAAATGATTTTCTACAATACCTTATGAATTAGCTGAAACATATGTGTGAAACCTAAAAGAAGACAATTATAAACTTGAGTGTTATAAAAGATGGCTTTAATATCTAAAGACAGACATTACTGTGTTACAAGATTTGACTATGTTATAAATGTATATATTATTTTTAAATCTGTTGGTAAAAATGTAATTCTAAAGCCCAGTGGAATTTTCAACTTTTTTTTCTTTTTGTAATGTTTCATGGACAGGGTGAGAAAAATGAGACATACATGATAAGTTATAAGCCCAGATATAAACGTTTTCATATATTAATTTTTCATAGGTATTAACATAGCTTCACAAGTTTGTATTAATACCATTGTAGAGGAAGAAATTACAGAAAATATTGGCAATAAAAATGATACAGGGTTATTATCCTTATTTAGGCTATAACCCAAGATAAGATGAAAACCACTAAAGCCATGGGAAAGTAGAAAGGTAAATTATAAAAGAAGTTATGTACATAAATAATGAAAACATAAAAAATGTTAAGTATTACAAGTAGTTAAAGGAAAACAAACTATAGAAAATTAAGATAATATTCAGTGATTGCTTTGATTGATAATACTGGGGTAGTCATATAATGCTAGTAGCAAAGCAATTTTGTTAATTTTGAAGGGACAGGGTATGGGGGAGGTAAATGTGAAACCATGATGCCAGGAACAGAAAAAATGGGAACAATAAGTACGTGGAAGTAAATAAATCACATTGAATCCGGACTCAGCCCCTCTAGTTGCTGTCACAGCAGAATGACTTCCCCACCATAAATTAAGCAAAAATTTTAATATCTCACTCTACAGCTTCTTTATCTTCATTACCAAATTCTCTAGCCTATTTAGTATTTAAATCTTTCTCTTTGACCATATCAAAGCAATAATTGCTGGCCTGAAATTCATATGTACTATATAAATGGCCTATTGTACTAAGTGATTTTCCCACTGCTGATACTAACCAAGAATCTCATTATTGAGACTCTGCTTGCAAAACCAGAAGTGAAAATTAAGCAGATTTCACAGCCTGTCAGCATCAGCCAGCAGGCAGAGCCACCATGGAACAATTTGAAATAACAGTTTAAAATGCTCATATACTATAGAATAGACAGAGACAGACAGAAACATATGTAAAACCATTCAGGAATTTCAGTTCACAGTACAAAACTCAGAAGAGGCTGTGGTAAAGATGAGCATATGGAAGACAAAGATCTCTAATATTGTAGTATACCTTATGACTGGCTAACTAAGAGAAACTTATAAACTCAATGTTTGCCCAAAAGACATTTTTAAAACTTCAAATGTCTATTCCATAAAAACTAGGTTTGCCATACTGCTTTTTATTGACATATGTAAAATTTAAGGGAATTCATATTAAAATTAGGACTAGGATAAACCTGCCAGCTATCACCATTATTATTTATAAAGTGTACCTGTAAAAGAAATTAGAAATAAGAGGTATAACTCTTACGAAAAAAGAAGACAAACTGATAATTATTTGTAAATTAAGATGTGAGCATATTCTTGGAATATACTCAAGAGGTATTGTTTAAAATCCCTTAAATTAAGTGAGTTCAACAAAAGTAAGATATAAGATGAATGAGAGGAAAACCATAGCTAACATATCTATCAGCCATAACCAGTTCAAAAGTAGAAGAAGGAAAACAAATCTGAAAAGAAACAGAAAAACACAAAAAATACCTAGAGACTTTAAAACTAATGCTATAGGACCTATCTGAGGAAAGTTACAAAACTTTATTAAGAGTTCTAAAATGAGCTTTGATTAAAGGAGAAACCTAGTTTCATAGCTTGGTTTTGTTGGTAATTATTCCCCATAAAGATGTACAATTACAGTACTACTGGGATTACAAATATCCCATTTTTTAAAGCCCTCAGACACATCACAAAACTGCATCACAATCACAAGAGGTTTCTGAAACACCAACAGGCATGCTGTCTTATGGAGCAGTCATCATCCTGTGCATTAACTTATTTCTTTTCTGTTTATCTTCTTTTGACATGTTGAGGAATATGGGGGTGAATGGTGTGTGTCTGAGCAGGGAGGTGGTCAATGGAGAAAGACATTACGTGGGGGTAGTGGCAGTAAGAATGTGTGCCACCTTTACCTTTTTCAAGCGATTGCCAGAAAAATAACATTTGGGGGGATGGGGAGGCCATATTTCATATCAACTAAAATCAAATTCGTTATTATATAGAAGTTGAGAAAATGATGTTAATCTTGCCAGAATAAACAAGAGGATGTGGCAAGTTTGCTCACTCCCTTGGATCTGCAGACCCCACCTAGGTTCCATTTGATTTTTGGATGCACAGGAGGGCTGGAAACCTTTTAGGTCCCTTGGTGTAATTTGCAGAGCCACTTTTGTTCAGTTATGGATGTCAAATTAATTTTTAAAAGGGTCTCTTTGGGTTTATCCTATTTGGAGTTTGTTGAACCTCTTGTATCTGTGACTATAAAGGGACATTTTTTTTCAAATTTGCGGGCTTTTTAGCCATTATTTCTTCAAATAATGTCTCTGTTCCCTTTTCTCTGTCTGCTCCTGGGACTCCTATAATGTGTATATTATTCCATTTGATGGCATCCTATGAATCCCTTGATCTCTTTTCACATTTTTTCATTATTTCTGTTTGCTCCTCAGACTTAATGATTTCAAATTACCTGTCTTCTAGCTTGTTTTGTTGATTTATTATTCTGCCTATTTCAGTCTTCTGCTGAATCCTTTTAGTGAATTTTAAAATTCATTTCTTGTGTTTTTTAGCTCCAGAATTTCTGGTTGTTTCTTTATTATAATTTCTATCTGTGTGTTTCTATTATAATTTTGTTCATATCATTTTCCTGATTTTCATCTCGCTGTCCATGCTGTCCTTTATCTAATCAAGCATTTGTTGACAGTTGTTGTAACGCCTTTGTCAAGTAAGCCAGAGGACTGTGTTTCTTTAGGGTTTAATATCCAGAGATTTATTTTCTCCTTTGAATGGGCTATGTTTCCCTTTTTCTTTGTATGCCTTGTTATCTTTTTTTTTAAGTTGCATATTTAAAATAATAGCCACCTTTCCTAGTTTTTGTGGAGTGTCTTTATGCAGAGGAAGTCCTTTATTAATCAGGCTGGCCTAAAGACTTAGTGCTCTCTCAAAACTTTTGCAGGCGGGTCTTTTCGGGGCCTGCACCTTTTTTTTTTTCTGTAATTCGGTTCCTCTGTGCATATGCCTCTTTTTTAATGCCTTAATTTCCCTAAATGTCTCATCCTTGCTTCTTCTCAAGCTCTTAGTTGTTTTAGTTTATTGCTCTGCCTGTAATATCTTGTACCTGGCCAGACACCCACAGGTCTCCAGTAACCCTGAAAACTCTTTCATGCCACAGCTCCAACCACTGCTTTTTGCAGCTTCCAAACTGATATCCAAACTGTGCCTCTATTTCTGTTAGTGTTCCCTGTCAGACAAGAGATAAACCAGGGCCTCAGGCTGGCCCTGTACAAGCCAGAACTCTGCAAGCAAATTCCACTTTTCTCTTTCCATCCCAAGGTAGAAATTAGTTGGATGGCTTCCTCCCAATTTCTCTGCAGTGTGCTAGGAAGTGGATTGAACAAGAATGAGAAAAGATACCATGAGATTTCTTTGCATTTTGAGTGCAGCTTTTCTTTTTTAGTCATTTGTAGTGTTGCTGCAGAGGTCTCACAGAGCTACTTTGGTTTGTATGTTGGTGTTTCCATGGACCTTCCTTGTCTGCCATCTTGATGACATCACTCTCCAGTGATGTGTCTTTTCCTAATCATGTTTGTCTGTTTTTATATCTTCATTTTCTAAGGTTGTGACTCATTTGGAAACTATGCTGGGAGCCTCAGTTCAGCATGTTAAACTGAGGCAAATGAAGTATTCTTTTCAGATATGGGTCACCATGATGTCGACAAAGGCACATGATGGGAAGGTATGTTCACTTCTTTCCTGCTTTTCATCTTTCCTTCCATAAATATGTTTTGAGTTCTATTGTGGGCCACATGTTATAGATACAGAGAAATGAAATTCATAAGCAAATAGATGGCAGAGTTAAATTATTAAAGATTGCATAGTTTGGTGAATGCTATACTGGTAAATGCATATGTGGTTGTAGGATCACAAGGGTGGGCCCATCTCTGTGTGGAAGTCATTGAAGGCCTCCTGGTGGAGCAGTTGCTAGCCTCAATACTGGAATAATTTGGAGGCCGTAACCAGTAAAGAAATGATAAAATGTGCTTCAATCAGACAAAACATCAGGACAAGGGCACAGCAGTGTGAGGCTTATTCCAGTGTGATGTGTGCTGGGTGTCAGCACATTTAGGTCTCAATAAAGCATAAAATGGTTCGGTAACCCCAACTGTCAAGTGCCCACTTTGCCTACCCCATCAGAGTGTTTTAGAGACATGCACACAGTTATCTCCGTTTCTACAGTGTGTTTTCACCCTCCTGTTAGTTCCTAAGTTTGGAAGCGGATGTGGGTACTTGTGAAAGATGATGTACATATGCTTTCTTCAGGCGTATGGAGGATTTTAAATATGAATTCTTTAAGAGGAATAAGATAAATTTGACATTATGAAGAAATAAAAAAATATTTTCAAGTCTTTGAGCTTTTGTACATATGTTGGCCATTGGGAATGTGTGTGTTGGAGTGTGACAGAGACAAATTCAAATTGCAAGTCACTTCTTAGCTCTTTTCTTTTGGGCGGGGTAGTTACTTACCTATTCTTCACTTTAGTCATCTGTGAAATGAAGCTATTGATGCCTGTGTTACAAGATTATTTTCAGGATTATGAATATTTCTGGTAAAATGCCTGACATATAATAGCCCTTCAATAAGGAAGAACTCTCATGATCCCTTTCTACCTTAAAGAAAGTAAATTATCAGTCACTGCACTTGTGTTTCAGAAACAAATAACCTGCTTCTTTTATGTAAGCACCTTGACAATCTCTCAGAATAGGAAGTTCATGTAAATCCACAAGCTGAGGATGTTTGACTCTGAGATACAGTTTTATAATCAGAGTATTAGAGCAAAACTAAATCAAAGATTAGTAACAAAAAGTTTATTTTGCGTTCACTTGAAGGGGATACTCTCTTGTAACTTGGAGAATCTCTTAGCATACGTGCTTATTGTTAACATTGGTCCTGAAATTAAAAACCTGAAATAAGACAAGAGGGTGAAAAAACTGGTCTGCTTCACCTTGAATTATGATGCCTGACTTAGAGCTGGTAGTCATTAGGTGCTCCAGCATGTTGCTCAGTAATGTTTCATCTCTTAAGAACAGGTAAAAGTATATGGTTGGTACTTGAAACTTTTACTATGGAAAAAGGATGTGGCCATTTTCTCAACCATACTTGTTTAAGGCATTGTAACTGCTTTATTATAAGAGGTTTATTGAGTTATAATTTACGTACCATGTAAATCACCCATTTAAAGCATACAATTAAATTATTTTTAAAACACTTATAGAATTGTGCAACCATCACCACAATCAATTTTTGAACAGTTCATCACCACAAAAACAGACCCATACTCATTATCAGTAACCACCCCCAATATCATCACCACCCCTCCCCCCAGCTTTAAGCAAAAATTAATCTACCTTTTGTCTCTTTTGATTCTCTTATTCTGATTCTGGACATTTCAAATAAATAGAATCATACATTGTATAGTGTTTTGTTACTGGCTTCTTTCACTTAGTGCAATGTTTTGTTGTTGTTTTTACATTTTATCCCTGCTGTACCTTGTATCAGTGACTTACTCCTTTTTATGGCTGGATTATATTGTATTGTATTGATATATTTTATTTATCCATTCATCAGTTGATTGTTATGTGGCTATTATTAATAGTGCTGCTATGAACATTCCTGTACATATTTTTTCTTAACCATACTTTTTTGAGAGTATACTTGTATTTCCTTCCTTTTCTTAAATCTTAGGAGCCTTTGAAATTTGTGGATCTGCTTAGTGACCATGGGAAGCCTATCAGCCCTGTGTGGGAATTTATCAAGTGGTGCCTGGGACGATCAAAGCACACCATCCCTGCCATTGGTATATAAATCATCTTTTCTCTAAGACTGGTTTAATGCCTTTGGGAGAGGGAAGGACATCATACCAAAAGTATAAGAACCACTCACAACACTTTGAGGAAAGCTGAAATATATGAATACATGAATTAGTATTCATCGTATGCTGATCTCTCACTATGTGCCAAGCACTCTCCTGTGTATTTTAATCCCATCAATTTGCAATGTATCTAGTCTTCCAATTTTACAGGTTTAGTAACCTTAATTCAGAAAGGGTAGATGGCTACCAAGTTAACGCTCTTCAAATACTTATTTTACAAGCTGTATTGAAGCAGCTCGCCAAAGAAACTAGTGCAGCTATGGACACTTGTCGCAGAGTTAGTGATTGCTGTTATTGTAAACAAATGCTTATTGACTACCTAAGTGCCAAATATTCGATTTTTGGCACCTTTGTATGGGTTATCCCCTTAAACATTTAAGAGAGTCTGATAGTATAAGTAATACTATCTTTTCATAGTGAGAAACTGAGGCTAATAGAGATCAGTTAACTTACTTCAAACTGAGCTCTAATCTTAACTTGTCTAGATACTAGCTTTCTTAACCTCCATTCAGTTGCTCATGTCAGTGATTCATTTTTCTTGTCTATAAAATGAGGTTAATAAAAGTATGTATGTCCTATGTGGTTGAGTGGATTAAATAATATGTACATCCTTGCATTGTTTTGCTACTTATATTAGATTGTGCATCTAAAGCATGTAAGATACAACCTAACCATGCACATACTGGGAATTTCAGTTTTATAAAGATGAAACCACAAATCTTGGAATATCATAAAGACTCAGTAAATAGAAGCTATTTTTATAGTCTCTACGAATGAGATCTCTATCATCAGAAATTGCTGTATTGTTGGAGAAAGACGCTGTGCTTTCAATGGCTATAATATTTTGATAGCATGAGGAAAATACTTTTAAGGACAATGAGCACTCAAAGCACTCATTTGCCAAATATTTGTCAGAGTTACTTTTTTTTTAGGAGCGTCTTGATGGTATTGTAGTCATTGATGTCCTCTTTGTTGTGCATAGCCATGAAAATTCAAGGACAGTGGTATACTAATATCAGGTCTTTAAGCAACCCTTGAGGTGTCTGATGCCAGCTCAATTCATGCAAAAGAAATGACATTTTATCATCCTAGGTAATGTCAGGGGCTTAGCTCAACTGTCATGTGTTGAGATAGCCAATGAAAGCAACACGCCAAAGTAAAAGTAATGGTGACATCTTTAACATGGTGATAGTATAAGCAAGAAGCTAAAATTGGAGAAAACACTGACTCTTCCCTTCTCCATTCAAGGGTCAAATGGATCAGCACAAGGTGGAGATCTTCTCAGTGTTTAAGGAGCCCTGAAAAAAGCCTCCAGCGGTTTTATGGACCCTTAGGTCATGAATAAGATGAGGGAGAGAGACTAGGAGTGGAAAAGTCCTGGGTACTGATTCAGAGTGGGGCGATATGTTCAAAGTTACCTCTGCCTCTCCCCATAAAGAGGCCTCAGCAGATGCACCTGAAGGAGACCTCTGCCAAAGGCCTCAGATAAAGAGGTCTAGGAGTGAAGGTGCCTTGGCTAAGAGTGCAGAGATACACAAGAACCTCACAGGTCAGAGGGGCCTGAGACTTGACTGCAACACCCTATAGAGGTGGAATGCACTGGCTGTACACCAAATCTGGTTTGGGGAAGGCAGGTTGCCCTCTGGAGTTTTACCAGGTAATCCTTTGTAATTGCTGATGGTCACATACCTGAAAAATCACACATAGGGATTTTAGCCAGGAGCTAGACTCTTCAGATAAAAGCATTCCAAACAATATTAAAAATTTATTTCTCAAGATGTCACTGCAGCGTATTTTACACTAACAAAAAGTTGGAAGCATCCTAAATGTTTACCAACAGAGGAATAGATAGTGACTTATGGTTCATATATATGATAAAATTGTATGCAGGCAATTAAGGCCATATGTATGAAGCTGTGTTGATAACATGTATATTTATGTATGTTAAAATAGTGAGTGGAAAATTTTGCATATAGTGTGAGCTCTACTATAAGACATATAATATTTGCATAGAAAAGTACATGAACTAAGTGTACTAGCATATTTACAATTATTTCCCATAGGCACTCTCTGTTTTGGAGTGACTTGTTCATTTTACTTTAATCTTTTGAACTTTTTCTTATTTTCTATTAGACTTCCATGTTCCTTTCATAATAGGAACAATAAGCTTATTTTTGTACACCCAAAACTGGTAAAAAAATAAACAAATAAATAAATTTATTTTTAAAATAAGTAAACTTTTTAAAAAATAAATATTTAATATTTGATACTAAGTATTTGTGATTTATTAAGCACATATGATGTATAATTAACTGAGGTACAAAATATGCATATATTTGTATGAATTCATGATCTTTTCATAAAATAATTTAAAACTTGAAGCTATATTAGCTAGAATCCTCTAAAAATATAATTCTATTATAAAGGTTTGCTAAGAATTACATAATGTGACACTATACATAGTTATGACCATATTATTGACTATATTCCCTATGCTTTGCTTTACATCCCTGTGACTATTCTGTAACTACCAATTTGTACTTCTTAATCCCATCGCCTTTCTCACCCAGTCTCCCAATCCCTCTCTCATCTAGTAATCATCAGTTTGTTCTCTGTATCTGAGTCTGTTTTTACTGTGTTCATTTATTTTTGTCCTTTAGATTCCACATATAAGTGAGGTCATAGGGTATTTGTCTTTCTCAGTCTGACTTATTTCACTTAGCATAATACCGACTAGGTCCATCCATGTTGTCACAAATGGTAAGATTTCATCCTTTTGTTATAGCCAAGTAATATTACATTGTATAAATGTACCACAATTTCTTTATACAGTCATCTATTGATGGAAATTTGGGTTGTTCCCATTTCTTGACTATTGTAAATAGTGCTGCAGTGAATATAAAGCTGCATATGTCTTTTCAAATTAGTGTTTTGAATTTCTTCCAATACACTGTACACCTGAAACTAATATAAAATAATATTTAATGTCAACTATAATTAAAAAAATAAGCACAGGGATATAAAATACAGCATAGGGAATATAGTCAATAATATTGTAATAACTATGTGGCGTGTCAGATGGGTAATAGACTTATTAGAGTTATCACTTTGTGAGGTATATAAATGCCTAATCACTATGTTGTTTTGTACACCCGAAGCTAATAATTTTTTTACAAGCCACCTCTATTTCCATCATGACTTCAAAAAAGAATCACATGCGTGAAGATACTTATTGCAGCATTTAAATTTTGGAAATAGTTTATATGCCCAACTAGCATGGCGTAGTGAAAGACAATCAATCTATGGTACATTCCTACAATTAAAATATTATACAATCATAAAAATCCATACGATATACTATTTTGTGTGAGAAGCTAGCAACTCTATATACAGCATTATCAAAAAAGACTAGGAGTTAGCATTAGTTGTCAGTAATGCTCATGTATGGGTGGCAAGGTTATAAGGTTTCTTTCTCATCATTGTCATACTTTCTCAATGTTCTAGAATGAATATATACTACTTGAGTAAGGAACGATAATATAAAGAACACTAGGATTTAAAATAAAGTTTCTTACCTTAACTTGCTGTATGTTATCATTCTATAGGACTGGCCTTCTTGGAAGAAAAGCTCAAATATAACAATGAGAAATTCAAAAAGTTTAAGGCAATTGAAGAAAGCCTGCATAAAGAGTTGGTGGAGATGCTAGGTGACGATGGCGTCTTCTTATATCCCTCCCATCCCACAGTGGCTCCCCAGCATCATGTTCCTCTGACAAGGCCTTTCAACTTTGCTTATACAGGTACCTAATTGTACTCCTTGCAGTCTGTAATCTTAAAGAAATGGAGATGTTTTCCAAGGAAACCATAATTTCCTTTTGCTGTTGGACAAGGTTTATACATGCATGTCCAAAAATGTGCAGTTAAAAGCAAATTCCAGAAAACAGTTGCTGTTGACATATGTGGAAGATAATTTGCTAATATCTGCATTCTCTCCAGTAACCCTGCAAGTAGATATGAGTATTCACGTTTTACAGCACTGAATTTCAGGGCAGTTCCATGACTGTCCTCAGTCACACAGTGTGAACTCGCTGAATCCAAAGGCTGCCTTGGTTATGCTGATGCATGGTAAAATCAAGTCAGCTTTTTTTCTAGGATGTGTGGTTTCCCAAAAGATGCTAGTACCAAATATGATTCTCCAAGATGATCATTTATTTGCCTTAGCTATCATCCCTTCTGAATTTGATTCATTCTATTATCCATCCAATTAATTTGTTTAAGTTTCAACTGGGTTGGAAACTGTGTCTGGACCATGGTTATGTGAGGTGTAAAGGCCCTTGGAAATGTACTCGGTCAGTTTCTATGGTTTCCAGAGAACCACACTACTCTTAGAGATAAGGTAGAAAAGCCTTTTTCAAATATACGTTTGTACTCTAGAAACCTGTGGTACACTTTAACTTGATATTTGGAGATTGGTTTACTTGAGTTTAAATACTTGGCTCTCTTAGTTTCTACGCGTGCATCTGGAACAAGACATTGAATGTTTCTGAACCTATCTCCTCATCTAGGAATTCCATCTAGGGTAATCCATACCTTGCACTGTTGCTGTCAAATTAAATAATACATGTAAAGTACTTGGCACAAGGGTTTTGGAAGCTGAGGGGGAGAGGGTATTAAATAATAGTTTCTATCCTTCATTTACTCATCTTTACTCTAATTCTTGGCTTTGGTCACTCACCTCCAATTCCTTGAATCTTTGAAACAAGTTTCTGCCTAAATTGCCCTGCCTCAGTTTCCATCAAGTTCTGAAGACAGGAAACATAATTGTCTGTAGGAGAGAACCCAAAGAGGCAGTTACCAGTTACAGCTTTTTGTTTCGTTTTGTTCTGCTTTGGTTTTATTTTTTATTTATTTTATAAACATTTATATGGTATTTAGTAGCTTGCTCACTAATTATAAATTATTAACATCAGAAATTAGTCTAGCCTGATGTTCCTTCTGATGAAAAAGAGCAACTCAGCCTGAATTTTAGCCCAAGACCAACTCATCTTTGAAAACCTAGTTCATATCTCAGTTCTGCCCACGCCCATACTCAGCCCACAGCGAAAGAGCCATCTTTTGAGATCCTCTACATTCCATCTACATCACTGTTTCGTTGGTTTCTGAGAGTGTTTCTTCTTGTTTTATTAGAGATCTTTTCATGGTTGTGTCTTAACTCTCTGTCTAGACTGCATTCCTTGAGAAAAGGGGTTATTTTGCAAGGCTTTTTTTAGTTAAAGTTTTTTTGGGTGAAAATTGTTAGTAAAGTCACATAGGTTTCAGGCATACAATTCTGTAATACATCATCTATATATCACATTGTCTGTTCACCACCCAGTCAGTTCTTCCATCACCATTTATTTGACCCCTTTTATTCTCATCTACCATCCCCCCCACCCCCCTTACCCTCTGGTGACCACTAAACTATTGTCTGTGTCTGTGAGGTTTTGTTTCTTCATTTGTCTTGTTTCTTTGTTGTTTTCAGTTTTATATCCCACATATCAGTGAAATCATATGGTTCTCAACTTTTTCTGTCTGACTTATTTCGCTTAGCATAATCATTTCAAGATCCATCCATGTTGTCACAAATGGCACTATTTCATCTTTTCTTATGGCGGAATAGTATTCCATTGTGTGTGTGTGTGTGTGTGTGTGTGTGTGTGTGTGTGTGTGTGTGTGTATTTTAGTTTGAGGTTTCTGTGCGACATTCTGATGGAGATGTCAAACACGGATTTTGTTACATAGGTCTGAAACATAGGTCAGCGGATATAGACGTGAAGGTCATTCAGTCATAGGTGATAGCTGAAATCATGACAATGGCTCGAACTCCTGTGTAGGTGTAGTAGCATAAGAACAGAAAAGGACAGACTGGCCTTCCCTATATTCCTCTCTTTTTTTTTTTTAAAGATTTTTTTAAATTGGGGAATTGGGGGATGGGAACAGCACTGGGGAATTGGGGGAAGGGGAACAGACAAGTTGCTGTCCTTTTGTTCTTCAGTCTAGTTGTGGAGGACGTTGCTTCACTGGCCCAAGTTGGCACCATCATTGCGCTCTTCCCAGGCCGAGGCAGATCAGTTGCCGGCTTCTGGACAGCCGCTCACTGCAGCTGCTGGCCACTCACGCTGGCTGCTGGCTACACACGGTAGCCCATGGCAACCCACTGCCACAGGGGCTGCAGCCTACGCCGTCGCCGGTGACTCACGGCAGCCCAGCTCCAGGTTGAGCTGTTGTTCAGCATCTTAGCTGTGGAGGGCAGTGTCACTGGACCTCCTATGTGGGATCCGAACCGGGGCCCTCTGGCATCCCAAGCCAGCTCTTAACCAAGGTGCCACTTGGCCGGCCCCCTATATTCCTCTCTTTGATGTCTGCTTCTGCCAACAGCCTCAATAGGCAGGAGTCCCAGAAACGTTCTACTCTTGATAGTACAAATGGCCTTGCCTATTTAATCTCATTGTCCTCCTCATCAACAATGACGCTCAGGAGAGCTGGCCTTGCTTAGTCCATTTATCTCAGTCTGTTGGACTCTCATGTACATTCGTGATGTTACAGATGTAAGAGAATCAGTACATCCCACGGGACCTTACAGAAGCAGATAGCAAACCCCACTTGCTTGCCCAAACACTTGCTCCCAGCCCTAAGAAAAGACAGGGATTTCTGAGGCGTGTGTTTTACTGGTGAGGCACAGCAGAACCAGCTGTCTCTCTAAAGATTATTTGTATTCATACAGAAATCTGTTCCACTAAGGGATTCCAGCTCAGAAGGAACTCTTCCTTAGTAATACACACCACAGTCCTACAAAGTGTTTTCATAATTTACTATATCTCTGCCCTGGGGCTGTTCGAAGCATACCATGTGATTCAAACCTTCTAAGAATAAATACAAGTTGAATCCTATTCTGTAGTTAAGGACCCTGAGTCATAGAGACCTGCCTGATGACTCCCAAATATCAATTTTCACACCAAAAATCGCACTCTTGTTTCCTAATTTTTGTTCCAGAACTCTTCCTATATCCTAACAATAGTTTCCTTAAAAACCTAATCTACCTTCTAAAGGTTTTATCAGTCTCAGCTCATGAAGCAATATAATACCATTCAAGAGTTATTCACTAAGCTGAAACCAAGGATGATTTTGTACAAAACTAGCCTCAAACTATTCTGCCTATAAGCTTTTCTGCAACTTTTACATCCTATCCATTGTACACTGAATGCCTAGGTTATACATTAGAAATCACTACCTATATGTTGTTTAAATTCTCTTCTGTAATGTGTTCATGCAGTGTTCATTCATTTTTGCTTAGACACCCCAGGAATGTGAAATTCACTATCTCCTAGGCTATTGCATTTAATTTTCAGGTAGAACAAAAAGTTGCAGCTTTTGGAGGGAGTTTCCTCCGATTGAAGTTTGCCACATTTTAGAATTTTTTTCCTCTAGTTCAATTCTAAACACGTTTACAGAATGTCCATTGTGAGCTGGGTGATATACCAGGTGGTATGGATACAAGATCCATGATAAATAATTGCACCATTTATCAAATATCTATTATGTGCCAGATACTATGAGCTAGAAATGCTACACATGATCTCATTTAAGGCTCCCCAAAATCCTTCATAGCAGGTACAGTTATCCTTGTGTAAAAGATGGAGAAACAGAGAGACTTAAGTGTCAGAGTCAGGACTGGAACCCAACTATTTTATCTGACTTCAAACCCAGTGTGATCTCCACTGTATGCTTGGGTCAGTAATACTTAGGCTTGTTTTGATGTTATTCTCTCTACTGAAGCTGAAAATTTACTGGGTTTGGGAGGCCTTCTGTCAACGACATAGAATTGTAGGATGCCAAATACAATAGCTTGAGGTTTTAGCTGTGTTTTTATTTTCCCTACCAAGCAAAACTCTTCGTAGTTTCTACTCAAGCATAAGATTTTTATATTTGTCTCAGACTTACAAGATGGGTAAATTCAATAATATTTAATTTCTGCACCTCCATTTTCTTATGGCAAACACGAGGATGCTGCATGTGCTTTGCAGGATGGCTGGAAGGATTAAATGTGAGAATGTATATAAAGTGCTTTACAAGTATTAATAATAGTGATAATATACTATTTATTGAACACGTATATATGTTTGTAGTAACTTTAATGTAGATAATATTAATATCTCTGTTTTACTTCATAACAATTGCTATTTATTTTCCCCTTGCTTTATCTGCATGAGGCATTGTTCTAAGGGTTTTATAGGCCTTGTCTAATTTTATCCTCATGGCAGTTCTGAAAAGGAGAAACTATTATTATCATCATTTCATAGATGAAGGAATTCAAGCACAAAGAACTTCAGACACATTTCCAAAGGCACATAGCTAAGGTGGTTTTGCAAATGAGAATTGAACCCAGGTGCCCCCACTCCAGAGTTTTGTGAGTTAATTCACTACACAGAGGAGGAAACAGTACTCTTCAGCTCTGAAGTAAAGGGGATAGGAATTCGAACACAGGTCTGTCTGGCTCGAAATCCCCTTACACTTAACCCTACTTCCCTGTTCTTCTGCCCCACTTGGTACTCAGTACATGGTAGCACCTTTTACTATTATATTTCATTGACACTCTACAATGAGAAAATATTTATTAAACACTTACTGTGGCCAGACTATGTGCACTGGAGTTACAGAGGTGATTCTGACACATTCAACACCTAGCTAGTAAGAAATACAAACAAATATAACCAGGGGTTTCCAATAGAAGGCAGCAACACAATGGCAAAGGAAGACTTTC